TGGGTTATTAAAGAAAGAAAAGTAAACTAAAAAGCTTGACTCGGTTTCCACTGGTGCCCTTTAAAGTCGTTTTATTCCGTACGATTATGGCAGTGAAATAATAGGACAGAAACTTCAGGCTTGTGCTTTTTCTGCTGGTCGCTCAAAGGTGATCTTCATTCTTGAACTATGGAGCTAACAGGTTTGTCTTCTTGATTTTCATTACTTGATATTTTCTTGTTTGACTTATCAGGGAAATTGCATGACATTGCATAACAAATCTATCCAACCTTCTGCTTTATTTTCGAGTTCTGGTTAAACAAGTTGAGATGGTGCCAGATTGTTGTTTCATGGATGTTAATAATGAAGAAAGGCCTTAATTCATTGTCTTTTTCTTGTCTGACTATGCACCATTTTGGAATCCCTTCATTTGCTCTCTCCATTTCAGGTTTTAACGTCCTTTTGCACTTTATCTTTTTTTTTTTCTCTCTCTCCTCAAACTTTGTTTTGTGCATGTCTTTAGAGTCTCCATTGGAATTATTTTGTGATGGTTATTTATGCTGATTTTTTTTTAATGGTTTTAGACTATTTTGATTCTGGAGACCGTCAATTCTAAAAAAGGTACGTGGGAAAATGGTTATTGGAGTTAAGCTTTGTCAATTCAGTTCACTTGGACTTTATTTTTTGAGAAAAAGGAATTTTTTTTTGGAGTTATGCTTCTTTCTTTTTCTTTTAGTTGGAATGAACCCGTTCATCTTAATTGACCTTGAGTTGATTAGTTTTCTTACATGAAATTTCAATTTATTTGGGTCGTTCTGATTGAACTTGCAAATGTGGACTGTTTTTAATGCTTAGGCTGAAGGGTGGAGCAGAAGAATTGGGAAGAGAGGAAATTATGATTTTTCATTTTGTAGCAGAAAATATCTTTGTTCCTTAGTTCAATGGAGCATTAGACTTAGGTGTAATGGCGTTGGAGCTTGTACCCATTGGAACCATCCTGGCTGTGGTAACAAACCAGGTCCTCAAAACAGCTCAGGCTGCAAACGATGTTCTAATAGAGAAAGAGAGTTTCAAGGTCCTATCCAATCACCTCTTTGATATAGAACCTGTGTTAAAGGAACTTCAGCTTCAAAAATTAAATGATTCCCCAGCTGCAAGGTTAGCTCTTGAGAACCTTGAAGCTGATGTGAAAAAGGCAAACAGCTTGGTTGAGAAGTACAAAAATCGAGCCCGTTTCTATTTACTGCTCAAGTGTCGCCACATAGTCAATGAAGTTCAAGAAGTCACAAGGGACATTGGAAGGTCTTTGGCTGCATTATCCCTTGCTAATACTGAGGTCCTCTCGGGGATTTCAGACCAGGTGAATAGGCTGCAGGCTGAAATGCAGAGAGTAGAATTCGAGACTTCACATTCTCAGCTCCAGATAATTGACAGGTTAAATCAGGGTCTTAGGGAACAGAAACTTGATCAAGGTTTTGCAAATGATATGCTTGAAGAAATAGCAAGGGCAGTTGGGATACCTGTTGAACCCTCAGAGATAAGTAAGGAGCTAGCAAGCTTCAAAAGGGAAAAGAAAGAAGCAGCCAACCGCAAAGAAAGAGCTGAAGTTTTCTTCTTGGAGCAGGTTATTGAGCTGCTTTCTCAGGCTGATGCTGCAAGAGATTATGAAGAAGTCAAGAGGCAGTATTTTCAGAGGCTTCACGTTGTAGAGCGCTATGATGACAAGGAAGAATTTATTGCTCCATTGAACTCCTTCAAATGCCGTATAAATGGGACTGTGATGGTTGATCCTGTAAGCCTTTGCACGGGCACTACATGTGAGAGAACTGCTATTGAAGCTTGGTTTGAACATGGAGAGAGAACTGACCCTGAAACAGGTGAGGATCTTGAAGATACTAGTTTGAGGACTAATCTTCCTCTGAGACAATCCATAGAGGAGTGGAGAGAATTGAATTATTGTCTTAAGATAAGATCTTGCAAGGCCAAGTTGTTGTCAGGTGTTGACTCGCTAATGGAGGATGCCCTGAGCCAAATGCAGGATCTTATGAGAGAAAATTCTATAAACAAAGATTGGATCTCCGTAGGAGGGCTTGCTGATATAATAATTTCTATCCTCGGAAGCTCACAGAACAAAGAGGTGAAGAGGAAGATTCTAATTACCTTAAAGGATCTTGTGAAAGGGCATGCAAGAAATAAGGTTAGTTGCGTGGGAATTACTAGTATTTTCTTATGCTGTTGTCATTTTCATTATCATGAGCTCTTTCTTGTTTGGGTGGAGGAGAGTAGGAGAGTATTGAGAGTTAATATTTGAATACTGCATTCAGATTTGATTTGTTCCTACTGTCTCTGCCATCTAATGCACAGTAGTAGTGATATTAAAGATATTCTTTTCTCCAAGAAGAAAATAAGTTAGAAATATTTGCAGTGTTAGTGATCTCTCAAACATACTTGCATCTAATGTTAATTCTGTATGAAATTCAACTTATACTGCTAACCATTATCTAACACACTCTAGATATTTTAGAATACTGTGGACAATCTTTAGATCTGGAGTTTATACATTTCATAAAGCCAACATACCTCAAGCTACTATTTGCTTCAGAATTTTCAAATAAATAAATGCATGAGGTACAAAAAACCTATAAACAATTTTTTTACACCTACATCACAATTTTGTAGGAAAAAGTGATTGAGTATGAGGGTTGGGATCACATTGTTCGTTGCTTAGCTTGTGACTCTAACATCTCGAAGGCTGCTGTTGAATTGCTATTTGTGTTATTGCAAGACAGATCCA